AAACTTTCTTATGTATAAAAAGCATTATAAAAACTTAACACTAGTTTTTACTATAAGGAGGGCCTCTCTCTCTCTCTCTCTCTCTCTCTCTCTCTCTCTCTCTCTCGTTGCTCACAACGACTTTTATATGCGATGACCGGACAGACGAACGGCAATACATTCGTGTGCTTTTTGTGGATCACTTAAAGCTGAGTGAGAGAGAGAGAGAGAGAGAGAGAGGCCCTCCTTATAGTAAAAACTAGTGTTAAGTTTTTATAATGCTTTTTATACATAAGAAAGTTTGAGAGAGAGAGAGAGAGGACCTGTCGTTCGTCGCTTAACAGTTGGTCTCTCTCTCTCTCTCTCTCTCTCTCTCTCTCTCTACACGAAAGGAAAGGTGGGGTAAAGACTGCTCTACTATTAGAGGGACAGTCGTCGTCGTACTCACACTCTCGCACCCAGTCTTACAAACTTTCTTACCATTGAAAGAGTGCTCACAATTCACTCTCTTATTCATATTAAAACGTTTCTCTCTATCCGTCCATTCATTTTGATCTAAAAGCGGATTTCAATCGTTGAAAAAAAACTTATTTTTAAAAAACTCAAAATTGATATCAAAAAAGTTTTTGTCTCTCATCTGAACGGCTGTTGCCTTTGTGTTGTGATATTATATATACAGTGTTTTATATGTGTATATCTGTGTTATCCGAAGGAATATCTCGATCGAAATAGTTTGAGAAATATATTTATCGATATTATTATTGACCGATAATAATAATTATTGGCTTTCAAATGGTGACCGCGATGTTAACCATAGGTTTGCGTGAAACAAATGTGTTATTTTTCGTATCATTTATTTAATTTTATTTATATCTAGTATTTATAGTTTCTTATGGTATGCATTATAAGCTATTTTTGTGTTGTTTTTTATTTTATATTCACTCTTTGGGAGTAAAACTATTTGAAATATTTGACAAAAACAACACATTATTTTGTTGGCTCTACTTCTCATTGAAATTCTTGTATCAAATTATAGTATTTTTTGCTTTTTATTTATTTGCTATTTTTGTGTTGAAGTTTTTGTTGTGAAAATTAGTATTTTTTGGTATTAATTAATACATAATTAATTAATATTTGTCTATATTTTTGCTAATTTTTAATGAAATTTATTTCTCTGTCTGTCAGTCTATACATTGAATATTAAAATTAAATATGTTTTTCGGTATTGTATTTCATTTTCAATATTTTAAATGATTTTTCAGATGAATTGCAAACAAAACTCTCGAATTGTATTAAAGAGTTTCCGACAAAAAGCGAAAACCATTTGAAGAGAAAAGGGCGCCGAGAGTTGGCCCACAGTTCCAGCTTTAAGATGAAGGCCACAAGTAGTTCACCGTAAGTACAGTCGCCTAATGGCCGTCCCATTCATTGACACATCCCATACGATTGTCTTAACATTTTCTCACTGTGTTTAGTATTAGAGACGAGTCGATGCTATACGAGAGGGGAGAGCACTCGCTGTCGCCAAACTTCAGTCCCGGTCCGCACACGGCGTCGACACCACCGCAACACCTCCTGATGAGCGGTCGGGAACCGCTACCCATGGCTGCCGGCGACCAGACAGGCAACGCTCACTCATTGTACACTACTTACGCCGGTGTCGGCGGCGCTGCTCAGCGCACATCTTTGGTGGCCGTCGACCGGCCGGACGGCCTGCTGTCCGCATACCGCGGGTCACCCTATCATCACATCGACGGCGCGAAGCACTCCTCATCGTTGATAATCAGACGCAATAGCGACGCGATGTCGCAGAACTCGACCACACAGTCCTCGTCGGCCGGTTCGCCGCCGATTGGCGGCCACAGCGCCGAAGACGAGGACGACGACCAGCCGCTGGACTTTAGCAGCAAAACAATGCACCGCAACTCAGATAACAATAATACGCGCGAATCGGAGTCAGAGCCGATGCAAGTGAGCCGCGGCGGCGGCGGCCGAGGAGGTGGTGGTAGTAGTCCGCCGACAGCGTCCGGCCATACGCTGTCCCAACTGTTTGCCCAACAAATGATGCGGCCGTCGGTCATAACGTGCGGCTCATCGCTGATGAAAGCCCAACAAACACCGCCGCATCCGTCGGCGGCCCCACCGCCGCCCCCGCCCTCCTATGCCGAGTCGATGTCCACCGCTAGACATCAGACCACATACGGCACGCCCGCCGCCGATGACGAGGAGAATTGCGTTCAACGCCGACATAATAGCGGCGATAATGTGAGACAACGCGAACAACAGCACAGCCGCCGACAAGTGGTGACCACCAGTTGCGAAGGTGTGAGCGATCCGGTGATCGAAGAGCACTTCCGACGCTCGTTAGGCAAAG